ATTTCAGAAAGTCTGTGACTAAGCTAAGGATAAACTCAGCCTTGCCATTAACAAGAAATTGCCAGGGAGTGCTTTTGGGGTGAGATCTGCATTATTCCTTTTCTAAGCCGGAGGCCATCTGAGTAAGGTCTGTTAGGTCTGCTGTAGTGATTTGCAATCTCACTCGGCTCTCTGCTCCTGTCTTCCAAAATGTACTGCTTTTCTCACTGAGGCAAAATAACACAGATCTTGTTGCAAACTTGTAGGGAAAGCTCTTAATGCTAGGAAAAGAGCTCCTTGTCTGCATAGTGCATGCTCCAGAGAGAACATTTAGTATCTGGTTAAGGATTACTTTCTTACAATAGATTATTTTTCCCCCTATTTGTCATTTGTTTTGCTGTTTGTGGCTTTTCCTCACATACCATTTCTCTTTCCCACACAGTACTGAGCTTTCTGTTTGAAAGTCAGGAGGAATGCTATATAGCCTCTCTTTAGGTGATTTGTATTCAGTACATCCTCCCTCTGTGTCCTGTTACATGCAGCCTGAGACACTTGTCACAAGCCACCCAACAGATTAAGAGAGAAAACTTTGAGTTGCTCAGAATTTCCTAACCATATGCTTGGCCTTAACGGATGTGTTAAGTATCAGGTGATTCAAATTGAAAAGCTCAGCAGCTTTATAATCTCCTGGCCTCTACAGTCACTCCAGCTACTGATGCCAGAAGCAGAAGCTCTAAGACAGGCTCACTGTCGTGAGCACTGTACACCTTATCCCTGCTGCTTTAGGAGCAAAGATCCAGAAAGAAAAGCTCTCATTCATTTCTTTCCTGTCATGGAGTAAGTACCTGAAAATAATTACACCCCTTTACTGGAAACATTTGGCATCGGTGCTGTGGCTCCACCATTAACATTTTCTACAGTTTCTTTCCAGACTGCCAGTTCTTTTTTATTACTGTCTTGTTAGTGTGATGAAATGATGACAGTCTTCTATCCTTGCTGTGGATGCAGCCAAATGGCATAAGAACGTTTGTCTACAAAAGTAACTGAATAAAAGATTGAAATGGCCAATTAATAACAGCATCTGCCTCGTATTATCTGTAGAGACTGGCCATGCGTGGCCCACAGTCTCTCAAGATTTTGTACGCTGCATCTGAGGAGATATGATTCTGTTTTAACTAAATCCAAGTACGGTTCTCCAAAATATGACTTATTCTTTAAGGCCTCCCACTTTATCTCTTTCCAAAATTTCAAGCAGTTCTGCTGTTTGGATACCAAGTCTTTGGCAAAACAGTCTGTGTTTAATGGGCCTCTGAACAGAGGACAATCTATGTAACTGAGGGCTGATCTTAAGCCATATTTGCTTATTGCCATCACAGAAACACGCAAATACCCTGGAACTTTGAAAGAGCCTGTCTTGCACAATGCAGGTCTGGATCTTACCTTCTACAGCAGCTGGTCTTTTATCTGTATAGTGTTCTTACCCATAAATTCCAAGTTGTTCTTGACTTTGAAAAGATTGGTGCCTACTTTGTCTTGGACTTCATTCTCTTTGAACTAAGCACAAATGACTGAACATCTCTTAGAATGGCTGCATGTCTCTGCATTAGCTGACTCAAACAAACGTGATGCTATTTAATAACTGTCAGGAAACAAAATGTCATTTTTCCACCTGAAATGACTACTTGTGTGTCTTTTGCCCTTCTGTGGCTTACTCGCTTTCCTGATCAAAAGCTTGTTGAACTAGAATATGAAAGCACCTGTGGTGTCCCTTTTTGCTGCTATCAATTCAGTGTTGTCTGGCTCTTTATTCTTGCTCTAACACAGATATTTATATTAAAAAAGAACAACACCCAGAAGCCTACAAAAGATGTGTAACTTGCTTTATACTGCTCAGCTTTTGTCTATCCTCTATTGTTTTTCTTTATCTTCCCTCATGTTCTAGATTTGTCCAATTTAAACTGCGTGCCCTTAGGGCAGGACACGTCTTGGTGTGCATTAATTAATGTTTGAACCTTTCTATTCACTGCAGCATGTCAAGCACATTCTCTACTGGCTGGCTGAGACCTGATGAGCAGTAGGAAGGTTATAAAGCACTGTTTGAAATGGGTCTCTGTGTAGTCATTAAAGTGCATTGTCTGTCTATCTGCCTATCTCCTTTCTTACTGTTTTTTTCCTTCAGTTCTCCTTGACCCAAAATTACACTCTCATTTTCCATCAATTTACTCTCCTCTTTACCTGGTCAACTTTCTAATTTAATTCTGCAACAAAACATTCAGTAGAACAGAGGCACGATTATGCTTTCCTTTGGAATCAGGTCTAGTACTCTAAGGGCAACATCTCCATCTTTACGTGTTTGTGGACAGATGGAAAGAAAGATGGAATTTTGTGCTAGCTTCTTATTCACACTAGTTTTTTATAGTGACCTCTTCTATCCTGCAGATCCTCTCTTTATAGGATTTCTTTGGAAAAAGGTGTTGTATTGAGACTGCTAGACATGTTATGTTCCTGTTGTTGGTGCTACAGAAATGGGCCTGGGATGATACTTTCCTGCACCTCTGTTTGCTGGAGCTTTCTTCCTCTCTGGCATTTATTTTACATCTTCCTCTGAATGTGTTTTTTTGGTTATTCTGTTGGTATTTTCCAGTCATCCCAAACTCAGCTGCATTCCTATAGTTTCCTTTTGTACTTTCCCACTTTCCTGTATAAATCTTAAGAATGTGTTTAAAATTTTGAAAACTGCTGCAGTGAAAAATATTTTTCTATCTTGAAGGCATCTTTGAAAGACTACCTGAAAGTAAGTATCCAGTAAAACTGTAACAATAACTGCACTATGCAAAGTAACTGTGTGTTTTGATTTGTGAAGAACAAAGACTCACGTAGGAGATGCCCAGCATAAATAAAACCTCTGGACTTTAAGTGGGAAGTTGTCTCATATCTGCATGCTAAATAGGCTTCACTTGATTCATATCTGCAAACACCCTCATGTAACTGTCTGCTTCTCTAACATACTACAGTCAGTCCTCTAAGAAACATTCTAAAAGCAGAATTGCCCCCTGGCCTTATGGGTGCCTATTTTTCCCCAGGTTGGCATTCACTAAGCTGCTTGTGGGGTAATGCCATTCTACTGCTACCAAGCTTTTTGCTATTCCTGTTCGAGCTCTTAAACCAGGTTTCTGAAATGCAACAGGAAAATATGTGTCTTTTGAATAGAATGCAATTTCCCTACATCCAAGAGGATAAGAGGAGAGAGCTAAGTTAAAGAACAGTATTGTGGCTGCTTTGAGCAGGTATGAATGAATACAGAGTGAGGGTAAGAAGGTTATTATATTTGCTAAGATGTGGTCACCTGAAGTGGCTGGCTTTGCTTGAGCACAGAACTGTGAGGGAATAGATGCTTGGTGAACGATCGACACAAGGGATGGGGGGAGCAGATCTGTTTCAGGCTCTTCAGCCTGAAATCTCAGTGTGTTTCCTGTAGCACTTCAGCCTCACTCTTCTCCTCCCCACATTCCCTGGTTCCTCAGCATCATGTGCGTTCTGTGAGGAGCCTGAGTGCCCCGCTTGTCATGGAAGCTCCTGGTCAGCAGCTTCAAGGGTCAGAAATATAATGCTGAGTGAGAGCTGGGTCACTGCTGAGAAAAGGGTGAGGATAAAGATGCTCATTGAGCTTCTCACCAGGTGTGCAAAATCCTTTGGGAATCTTCAGCATAAAACGTGCGGATGCTGAGAGCTGTTGTGTCTTTTATGTTCACAACATTGTTGATGCCTGGTAGGTGCATTTCCTTACTCCTCTGCTCGACATTTTCTTGCAGACATTGATGAACTGCTAAATGTCAGAGAATGGGTTTATTTCTGTTAATTTTTACAGAATTCCCTCTTCTGTCATCATCTGAGAATGAAATCTAGCCGTTACTTTTTATGGGAATAGCGATAAATTGAGTCTTTTAAAATTCGAGCCAGTAGATGTCAGCAGTTCCTTTTCAAACGGCCCTGGGAATGCAGCAGTAAATGAACTGACTTGTTCGCATCCAAACTTATGCGATATAAAATATTTGCCCCCCAAACCAGGAGCTGGATAAAATATAGACAGCAGATGAGCACAAACAGCCTCCTCCTAGCTGCTTGTGAAAGTGGCACTAAGAATGCAGAGAAATTCTTGGCAGCTATGAAATATTAAATATACTCTGTTTTGAAGATTACATATAAAGATAATCTTTGATGAGGCCATTGCATGACACACCTCTATGAATGTTAAAACTCTGGCATATTTTTTTTTAAATGTGAGGGCTGTGCTCTTACATGGTTATTTTTTAGCACAAGGTGTGCAGCACCTGCCGTGTGTCACAGCTGATGGATAAGGTGGCAGGTGTTGGCCTGCAGTTGGTTATATATTTTGTTTGTACCTAAATTAGAAGAATATGAGTTGTTGTTTTTTAATTACAACATTTTAAAATTTGATATTTCTATTTTTTTTTTAGGAGAGTGGAGATTTTTATGAAATGGTGCTTTTCTGTTCCTCTGTAAATCAAGATCGGTTTCTCCAAAATTGATAGCCACTGTAAAAGCAGCACAGGGGAATAAAGATAAAGCAGATAATGCCCTTGTTGCTAGCTTTTGGCCTGTGTTGTTAATTTAAGCACAGCTAACATCCTTATCCTGGTCCGTTCCTTTGACCTTGAACCAATATCAGAAGGGTTTGCGAAGCTTTCTGAAGCGGTTTCGTTTCTTTTCGCTTCTGAGTCAGCAGGGGGAGCTCGCACCCATTTGGTTCAATTAGTCAAATATTGGTTATTAAAGATGCTCTAAACTAGGCCATTTTATTTACACACGCACACCCACCCACACACCTCCTTGTATCTCTGTATATGGAATTCGCAGAGCTTGTAATCTACACCTTAGCAGACTGTTTAAAAAGTCTCATTACCATATTTACCATATCCTCATCATAGATACCAGTTCTTATTAAAAAAGAGGGATCAGATGAACAAATGTTTAAAAACAGCCCTATAAAACGAATCTCTTTTATTATCTCAAGGTGGGTGGAGGGCAAGAAGGTTTCCCTACAGCTCTCCAGGAGCTGATGCTCAGCTGAAGAAATGCTGTGAGCTGTGAGTGAGCCTGGATCTCTGAGGCAGCTGGATGCTTTGGCAGCAGTCATTAAGAAAGGAGTTAAAACTAGGCTGTTGTCAGTTCTTTAACATGAGAAGAGTAAAAGCAACATTTTCTTCCCTTAAATTTATTGGGAAAAGACACAGTCTGATTCATCTGACTGCCTTTGTGCAAAGCTGCTTCATTTTTATGCTGTGTGAATAAAAAGTAGACTTTTACTGTATGTTCACAATATTTTCAAGAATATCATTTGGATATGTTAGTGCAAGTCAGAGAGTCTGTGCAAGTTCTTTCCTACTGCAGCTTTGTGCTAAATTCTGTCACTTTATTAAATTATGCGTATACTCCTGATATTTAGAGGAGTAGAATTATTATATGTAAGAGAAATACGATTTTAAGTACAGATTGTGAGAAATTTCAGCGAACTAAAGAAATAATAATAATTCTTGGTGGCAGGGGACAGTGAAGTGACTTGCCCAAGGTCACCGAGCAGTAAGACAACAGGGCTGGGAATAGACATCCTATCTCCTCCAGTTTCTGTGTGGTGCCATGTCTGTGCCTTGGGCAAGCAGAGAGATTTTCTATTTTCTGATGGCCTTTAAGTTTTCAGATGTTCATTAAGGTATCGTATTATTTCCCCAGATACTTTTTCATTGTAACTGAGAATGTTTTAACTTGTTGATTGTATTGATTTTTGATGTGGAAATAGCAGACTGCTCCATTTCAAACTAAATTTCAAGGCCATGACAATTGTTAGAAGGGAAAAGCCACTTAGCTCAACGCTCTAGTTCCTTTTATTTTTCTCGCTCCGGCATAGAAAGAGCCTGAGAGGTCCTATCCCTATCTTCTCTATCCTGGGTGGAATCCCAATTACTTTAGATGCTGGAAGAATTAGGAGGAAAAAGCGAACGTAATCTTTGGTATAAGCAGATATGTAGCTGGCTGTGCTTGTGCTAGCGATACCTGAGAGCACAGCAAGCACGTTCAGCCTCCACATTCAGCAATGTTTTGGCAGGTGCTGCTGCACCACTTTGAAGTCCTCTCTGAATCAGTGACAAATGGTGACTGTCCCTCTGATGGTCCTTTTGGTACCAAGCTACAGCAGCTATAAATGCTTTGCGTTTTTCTCAACTCTCAATGCATTTCTGCATCCTCTATCACCACCTACGTTTCTGTGTTATTATTTTTATTTCTTCTTTATTGTTGTTGTATTTTTTATTCTGAAACTGTAGTCCTAAACTAGGATTTGGACTTTCAGGAATTGTCCTTAAATCCTTTCCTACAGTATGTTGCATAATTCTCCCATTTAATATGGATTTCTTGTTTGGGTCAGTTGCCCCTAGTCCTATTTCCTCACAGTCATCTACATTTGATGTACATTTCCCTTTACAGGCCCAGTCATCTCCCTCAAGTAAGTCATTCCCTGATCATGACAGGCATGAGCCAGCATTCTGCGACAACGTTCTCATTGTTTGCAGTGAATTTGGAGCCTGACGCTAAGGATGAAAGCCTTTGTCAGCTGTACAGGTTAGTGAGCAGCTTTCATGCAGACCTTGGGTTCCTGGGTGGAGGGGGAGAAAACACTTGATGCTGCCATCCTGGTGCATCTCTGTATCACTGCTCACACTCTGCTGTGGAAGCTGCAGTGTTTTTATTTAATTTCTTTTTTTTTCTTTTGAAGCTTTTGCAGTAGATTTCTACACACCCCTTTCCTGAATCCACAGGAAGAATCACTGGTGTAAACACAGAGCTTTGCTCTGTGTGTTTGCAGGTTACCCCAAATAGCAGAGCTATTGCTGCTTCTGCTTCTGCTGCGCTTCTGAAGCTCTCAGCCTGCGGAGGGCAGTGTTTTTCAGCTATAAATTTGGTCCAGATCTCAAATGTAGGAGTCTGTGGCAAGTGCGTAACTGGCTCCAGATCTGCCGATCTCCAGCTGCTTCCAGTGAACCTGTGAGGATGGAGAGGGTTTTATTTTATGATTGTAGAGCAGAGTGAAGGAGTGTGGCAGGTGAAGGAGCAACTGTAGCTAGCATAGGCATATATATATGCCATACATATGCCTATATATTCTTTTTATTTCTTTTTTTAATGTGTGTAATTTCAATACATTGCTATGGCATTTAAAATGCAGAATTAGGGGAAAAATGGAAAAAAGTGGTAGTGGTGAGGACTTGAGGACTGTACCATTTACACTCCCCCTCCTTCCCAATACCCATCATCAAATTGTTAAACCACTGAGTCGCTGGCAGCTGCGATGTGGCAAAATGATGCTGTTTAGGGTAACTCTCTCTTTGGCACAGGATTGAACGGTATTGGGGAAGACATGAAATTAAAAAGAGCTTGTTTAAAATTGACTGCTGATTACTCACTTCCATAAATACATTGGAACACAAGAAATTTATTGCTCTTGGACATATTTGCAAGCTGCTTTTTGGAAATGGACACAAATACACTCTGAGTAATTCACTTTTGCTTCTTGAATGGCAGGCAATCTCTCTATGGTTCTACTGAAAAACAAGGCTAGATTTTTCAGTAGGATGGATGTCAGAGCTTTGTTTTCATTCCTTCTATAATGGTTTAAGAAAATTTGAAAATACAAGAGAACTAAAGAGAGATTTGTTCTACTGTAAAATGCAAAACTGTAGTACTTTTCAACAAATGAGGAGTGTAGAAGATGGTGGTTTGGATGCTGACTGAGCAGACTGAATTTTCATAAGCAATCTGAGTGAGAAAACTGTAGCAATACAGACTAAAATAGTCTAGATAAAATTCCTTCTTGACTATTAAGAGGAAGAAGTAGATGTCTATAAACAAAGACGTAACATTTCAAATCCTTTTATAGAAGTTCTGAACAGAGACGAAGATCTGAGCAAGACGGACAAACAACAGAACCACAGGGAAAGAAGTCTGGAGGGTTTTTTTTTTCCTTACCTAAAAGTGATGCCATTTTTTCGAATGTACCAACAAAAAATTGACCACAAGCAGGAAATGAAAGAAGTTATCTCTGAATAGTGTGTATAAAATACTCTAAAATAAAAGAAGCTAACAGAAACCAAATTAGAGAGTGATGTGAAGCCTTCTGCTATCACACAAGGCATCATCTAAAAGCAAAGCCTCACACAGGTCTATAATAGACCACGCTGTAGTCTGAAAATTCTTTTTTAATTGCCTCCAGAGCAGAAAAGAAAGCCCAAATTGATGCTTTCCCACTGCCGTATCTACTTTGTAATTACATGGGATAGCTAAAATCCTTTCTTTTCTTTTCTTTCTTTTTTTTTTTTTTTTAAATTATGCACTGAATTTCTTTTGTGCTTATATAAAATTGTATAAAAATTATTAAAATCTGAATGGTAATTTGTATTAGGCTTGGAAATTAGGTATGATCTCTATAGGGTGCATACATAGGTGTACATAGCTAGTATGGATCTGTAAATGAGGGCAAAGATGTCTGAGTGCTAAGGACAAAGTCACGTAAGTCGTGCAGGCAGTGACAGAACTGGAAACAGAACAAGTGGAGCTGCATGCTCAGTCTTTTTGCACTTGGAACAAACTGTTCCACTTACAGGCAGGGGAGGAGGCTGCTACTGAAGTCAGTGCTTACTGGAAGTTATAGGCAATGAGTGCAACTCTGCTAATAACAGAAAGAGTTGGTGTTTTACCTATTCCATGTGTGAAGAGGTTGCATTTAGAAAGCTCTCTCTCTGATTTCATCCATGTTTCTCTGCTCCGAGGGAAAGTAAAGGTGGGAATGATATGTCCAATAGCTGCCATGAGCCTGAAAGAAAATTCATTTATTCAGTGCAGCAGGTACTTTTTCAAAGCTCTGTTAAAATACAGAAGTAGAGAAAGATACATTTCTACCAGATTTCAGGGACATCATCTGATATTTATTAATGACTTAAAAATTTGCTTCTTCCTCGATGTGATTTAAAGTGTTTGTGCAATTGAAGTTTTAAAATTTGTTTTAAATCTTCTGCAAATTATGACTCCAACGGCAAATTTGTTTTCCATTTGACCTGTAATGTCAGATATCATTGCACTGAGTCATGCGCTGCATCCAAGCAAGAAGACAAATTCTGGCTCCTTATTTTTCATTGACATTGTTTAAATGCAATAATTTTCAGCAGCTCGGTGATGCTGTTTGTAATACTGAATGATATTTGAAAGATAACTCAGCTCAGTATCTCACATCCTGTTAGATCCCATGCGAATTAAAACAGTTTCACACTGCAGTCAAAAGAAATGTAAAAGTAATGTGATGCACTATACAAAAACTGAAGAGAAGACACAATTTTCTTCAGCCCTGTGGTGAAAATGTTATTGAATAGGCATGAGAGTAGATATCTGCATTTTGCAGACTGGGAAACCAAGGCTGGAATTGTTTGCTGAAGATCTCCATGAGTTAGACCAGAAGAGAAGTTGCACCTCCTAGTGCTTCCTCCAACCATTGATACCTGTAGCTCTTTGTAATGGTTTGGACAGGCATGGGACCATTTGTGATCCGCCCTTGGTATAAGCATCAATCTCAGTGATTGAAGTTCAATATTTTAGTCCTCATTATGCCTTTGGCAGGCTGTGTGTCACGTGGCAGAGCACTTCACTTCTATAGAAGTAATTTTTTTCTATCAGTTATAAGCTGCAGTTAATAATGGTTACCCAGTGTCATGACACGTTTGAATTACTTAGAAAAAATCTGAAACAAATGCCAGGTGGTATTACTAATTGTTAGGCTTTTATTTTAATTATTGCATGGATATTCGTAGAAAGTACTTCAAGCTAAGAGAAAAAAGCACTTCTGTTAACAGAATAAAGCAAATGGGAAAAGGTTCATTGCAATTTGACGGATTAAAGGTGCATTGCCAAAATGGTGTGGTAGCCGATTATTCTAAGCTATTACAGCTTAGAATGTTTTTGCATAAGTATATAAACAACAACTTTACAGCATTTCATGTAATCTACCTATGATCTTCCATTCAAATGAAAATGAAGACTAAGGCAGGAAAAAATACAGATTTATTGTACCTTTTTTGCTAGATTTCATTCTATCTTCAGGAAAACTGAGTCAACGGCAAGAACTACAAAAACAGTTGCACGCTATCAGTTACATCATATAATATTGAAGAGATTAGAGAGCAGACAAAAATGATTCCTTGCTGAAGGATAAATAGTCTTGATCTGCCAAGACAGTGCTTCATCTGCTTTCTAGCCCTAGGAATTGACTCCTAGTAGGTGAAAAAATGTATTGTTCTATTTTTTAAACCTGTTTCTACGTGATCAGCTGAATCCTGTTTGTGAACTATTGTATTAGTAATTAAACTGACCATCATACTAACACATCTGAAAGGAGGTTAGGACCTGGGAGCAGGACTAGGATATTCAGGTCAGTTCAGTAGCATGGTAGGATCTACACAATGAGAATCAGGTCCTATTTATTAGTATCTAACCATTCTGGGACTGAAGTGATTCGGTTGTTTTCACTGAAAGAAAGAGCTTGTGCGTAAGTCAGTTGACTCAGGGAAATTTGCATCCCCAAATCTCCTTGGCTCATAGGTCTACTCTTGGTCTTTTAAAAGTATGGCATAAAGCAAGTAAGTGACATGCTTCTCCTGTAGTACATTGAAAAGCTGAAAATCATATTCACTTATACTTAAGAAGCAATTTGTCGCAACAAAGAAGGAAATTGTAGTGATACTCTCTCTAAGCAGTTTCTGGGGTGGAAAAAAGGCTTTTCCAGCTTTTCTAGAGAAATTTACCCTTTTCTTCATTGCTTGGTAGTTTTGCGTGTACCAAAGAAGAGGATTCCATGGCTTCTGATATCAGTTTCATCAGAGCAAGTTGCTCAGAATGAGAGAGCAGACTGTCAGTGGACTTACTCGTTTTCTTCAGTGAGCATAAACAGAAGTGAACCCTTGACAGTAATTTGAGAGCGATGGTTAATGTCTCTGATGATGGTGTGAGGCTGACCTACCAATGCTGTAATTGTGTGACTCTGACTTGTTTCTGGATTATTTTCTAAATGTCATTAAAGGATTACTGGGGCTTCTTGTGCCTACATTCTGCTGGAAGGTTCTGTGAGATGCTTTCCTAGAGAAAGTTTGAAGCTTCTTACCTATCCTGCTATTGTCTAGAGTGCTGATTGTGTTCACCTGAGATGTTCATTGAGCAGATGAGTGAATTCTCAGAAAAGAGGAGGACTCAATGCTTCAGCGAGAGCAGCATTTCATTGCAAGGGGAATGAGAAAAGATAGTCCAAAAGAGAGCAAAAGGGAGAGCTGGCAAAGCAGTCAAACAGGAGGCCTTTCAATAGTAAGGTCTCACTGAGCTTTGAAGACAAAGAAGGGGCTCTGCTGAACACGTAGAATTTCAGACAGGGACCTGAACTGATAAGACCCTGCTTGCAGCTCTAACTTATCCAGTCTTAATTTCCTTGGAGACAGCGAGCAAGATAGAAGTGTATCTGAAGCAATGACAGCAGTGATCTGTGGTGTTTGGTGCCAGGGTCCCGGTACTATCAAGGTCAATGTCTGTATGAGGTTATCCATCCCATAAATGCAAATTTTCTGGAGGCAGCTTTAACTTGCACGTTTGTCTCTTATACGTGTATACAGGTAATATGTATATACATTCACCAAAATATGCATACATACGTATGTGCATTCCTTCTTAGTGTTTCTGAACATAGCACTTCCATTGCTGATGTGTCTACTTTCTTGCCCTCACTTCTTTGCACCATTCCCTGCAGAAGGCACCTTTGGGACTGCATTCACCTTATTCTCAGAACAGCAGAACTGTGCTCATGTTGCTGTTGCTTGGAGAGAAGTCTGGTGGACAAGTTTTACTTGACATAGAGACAGTCTCCTGTGATGCACTGTGTATGCTTTGAATGACTTGTTGTCTCTCTGGTTTTAGGAAATATGTGATAAAATATAGCGATAGCGAGAAAGTGGTCCAAGAGCAGTGCATTCTGAAATGACCTGCCCTCCCCTGTTTAAAAATTGCCTTTGATGTGGTTGATGGTAGTATTTCAAAGGCAGTAGTTGATAGCAAATGGGAAGAAAAGCAACAGTGAATTAAAGAAGATTTGAAGAGATAAAAATGGTAATTTATAGGTGAGAAAGTCTGATTAGAGATGTTGTTACTTTTTAGTTAATGAAATGACCTATCTAGTCAACTTGGATAATTCTTGTAGTGAGATATTTTTTCTTTACTGCCAGATTAGCAGAACCTCTCTCTTTCCTCAGTGAAAATGAAATGGCAATTTTAGCATTCTTAATTGGTTTGGTTCTTTTCCACAGTAGCAAGTGAACTGAAAAAATACTGCTTATGAACAGGTTATGAACTTAAGTCTAAAATCCATGCACTGTCTGCATCAAATAAAAAAGTGGCTAATGAAACAGTCTTCAGTTTCTAATTTCACAGAGAGCTGATGTTGCTTTAAGGTGTAGTTCCTGCATAGAATGCATGCAGTGAATGAATATTAGTAATGAGAAGCAGAGTTAATTTGTGGTTGAATGGTGTGTCTGTACTCAGAGTGACAGAACGCATAGCCAAAGCTATATATTATACCAAATTCCACTGAAAGCAGTAGTAGAAGTGTAGGAAAATGTTAAAAGGACCTCTTTTTGTTCCCAGACAAATCTGCAGGTGAATTAGAGATAATGTATAGAATGCTTGCAGTGATTCATAACCAAGTTATGCACGCTAGAATAGGGAGTATTAACAGTAAATTTTTAATGCAGTGACTTAATGCATGCTGAGAGAGGGTGAATTAAGCAAATTAAACTGTAGGTGCCAAATGGGTATTATTTAAGAACAGCAAAGATTGCCTGAAATTGAACCAAAATGAAAACCCACAAGATTTTTGCAGTCCGGCTGTTCCTCCTGGTGACCTGCACAGGTGCCTCTAGTTGGACTCCTGTAAGTTTCCTCCTGGTTCTCGGTGCATGTAGCTCATTTCTCTGATGTTTTCCAAAATTCATAGCAGAAATGATCTCTTCCACCATCTGCAGTGCTTTGCTCCTCATGGAGTTTTTTTCTTTTGCACCCAGTACTGAAGTTAATTTCCCTTATTTCTCCTGTTGCCCTCTGCCAGCTCTCTGTTACCACACTTAAAAATTCATATGAAGGTCTGATATCTTTGTCCATTTTTTTTCTCTTTTCCAACCCCACACATTCCTTATTACATCCCTTTCAGCAGATCAGTCATCTCATCAAAAAACAGGAGGCTTCTAGCAGTTAGTTCTCCTTATATTTCTATCTTGCAAATGTAAACAAATGATTAAAACCACACTCAGATGTACAAAGTAACTATGGGATTTCTGGAGCACAGCATGTATTTGGTACCTTTTTGTCAGACAATGCTCTTTGGGTCAAAACTTGTTCCCTTGAAAAGATGACGTTTGAAATTGGAATGCTTTGGTTACATAATGTCTGCTCCCAGTGGTTTGTCCTCAGAACTACTCAGTTCACTGCTGTGTGACAGTTCTTCACTAGCTCAGGTTGTAGGGAGCTATATTGGTGATTCTGAAAAATGAATTCAATTTCTGTCAACAGAAGGAATAAATGTGCATCTGTGCAGGTAGTCATGGATTACTGCATTGTCACAAGCCATTATGGGAATGTAGATATGGTAAACTTGAGAGAGAGAGCTGTCATCATGAACTGGTAGAGAGTAAGTAGTCACACAACCATCTATTGTCTGCAGTGCTCTGACAGGCTGGCACATTTTGTTTGTGGAATAAAACTACACTTCTCTAACCTCCACTGCACCTCTCTAACCTCAAAATGCTGATAGGCCAGCTATGAAGCTAGATTGTTTCCTTCCTAACAGCCGTGTCAGCTACGTATTCTGGATTCCTCATACAGTCTGGCAGTAAGACTCAGCTTTGTTGTATTTTATCCCCTTTTGTTTTGATATAAAATGAATAGATGGATAATGCTACTTATTCTGAAATGTGTCCTCAGCAATGTTAAAGGTTATTAATTGCATCTTGTTGCTTAAAATACCCATAGAGCCATGGGAAGTGAAAAGAAAGCACCACTTGAATCAATCCAGTGTTTTTGTAAATGGATTTGTTTTTCTTCCTATGATTTGGTGGAGGTGTTGTCAAGATATCTGATTTATGGATTTTAGTAAGCTAGGGACAACTCATCACTTTCCTAATTTAAACAGCTAAGAAAAGGTTGACCTGTCTGCTAAAAAGTGTTTTTTTCCTTTTGGCATGAATTCCGGAAAGCGCTGCAGCTTTTCTAGGGACTGGCTGATGAAATGTTCTGCACGGTATAGTAATAAATACAGCAACGGAGAAAAGAAAAGAAAAGAAAAGCAAGGCACACATCCTTTAAAATACAATTGTTCTTACCTTTCATTCTGAGTCTCTTTTGGTCATAGATATGAGTGAAGCCACCCCAGGTCCGTTCCTGTAAAACTGATGTAATTAATTGATGTAACAATGACCCTTATCTAGATAGGTTCTGGAATTCCTAAAGGTTTTTTTTTTTCATGAGAAAGTAATTAAAATAATCAAAAATACAGTGGAAATGTCTTTCGTTGTTGTTGTCTACAGCAGCACCCATCTCAGGTATAGAATCAAGAGCTGTGTTTGGGCTGCTGCAAATCGTATGAGTGAAAACAGACTTTGAGAGCAAAGTATTCACTGTTTCTGTTCAGTGTAGCTCCTGACCTCGGTTGCCACTGCAGACTTTATAAATAATCCTGATATATTTGTGTTCTATAACTTCCTAGAAATTTAAAAGTATTTGGAAAAAAATTCCTGTATGTTTGCTCATATCTGAGAGCTGCAGTTTTAAAAAGCCTTAAGGAAATCATGCAAATTTGAGCAATAGGTGTTAAAATCCCTCTATCTCAAGTCCAAACTGAGACACACAGAATAAATGACTTTTAGAGTCATGCTGTGTCTAGCACAGGGTTTTGGAAAGCCTTGAGTTGTTTTTTATGAAAAAGTTGCTAAATGGAGTTAAACATAATAAACATAAACCCAGAGCACTCTGGGTTGCTCTGATTAAAAATAGCTGCCCTGTAATGTTACAGTCACTTTTGTGTGCAACATCCTAGCATGCCTGATTGTTCTCTGCTCTTTCTTATGTTCTTTTTAGAACATTAGAACCTGACCTTTTGGAAAATGCGATTTCCATCTGTGCTTGAACAGCAGCAAGCAAAAATGGACTTAGAGGAGCGTATGGGGTAGGCCAGCACAAACACTGACAACAAAGATCGAGGGACTTCTCCCCTGATTTTGGTTTAGAAGGTGAAGTCTTTACCTCATGCCTCCATTTTGGGACTGGGGATACAGTGACAAGACTGAGCAGACAGTGATGGCTCCAGTCCTCCTACACAGTGCTGTATGAGCAGAGGCCATCAGTGCTGTCAGCGAGCACCATTTGCCTGCGCTAAATTTGCTGCTGAAAGAATGAACCCACTATTGATCCATATGGATCTGTGCTGCAACTGGAGAGCTATACGTTCAGCGTATGAACCTTGTGCTTTCCTCACTTTGGTAATGATTAGCGATGAGGGGCAAAAAAAGAACAGTGTGAAGGATGTCCGTGTCTCAGAAGAATCTAACTGAATCAACATTAGTTTTCTTCCTGTTGTCTCCCCTGATGCACAGGTCTATTATGGTGGTGATTGATGCCTCTGAACTTGGATTTTTTTGCTAAGTCACAGTGTCTGTTGAGTGTGAAGGATTAAATCATGACCTTAACAGGTAGAACAGGCTCTCTTTTACAGTGCTTTTCTAACCTTGGAGGTGTGGTACAGAAATGTGGTGCTGATGTCTTAAGCATGGACCATTTCCAAGCACATTAAATCAGTTTTAACATATTTATTGTGAATTGCAATAAATAGATTGATTGGTTTCTAACAATACTTTTGGGGAAAAAAAGAGAGAAGCTCAGCAATCTGAGCATGGCTGAGAAAACTCATGGCTAGAAGTTTATGGAGAAAATACTCAAGTGCTCACATTGTTGCTTTTAACATATCTGTGTCAAATAGAGTGAAATAGAGTTAAATTGGTGAGCGCTGTGTGAGCACTATGTGAACTATGCAGAGACACAATTATCATGCCTTCAGTAATCATGGATGCTACTGTGCGAAGATTTGGTCAGTTATATTCTAATCATTTAAGGGCTTTTTTTTTTATTTGCAGCTTTAGACTTAAATATTTTTTATTTTCAATTTGGGTGGCAAGAGGGTTGCTGCAAATATTTATAACAAATCACTCCTACCAGAGGACACATTAAGTCTTGCAGCATAACAAAACTGAATTACCATGAAATAAACTTTCTTAATTAAACCAATTAAATTTCTTCCCAGTATGTAATTTAGAAACTCTGATAAACCCTGGTTGAAAAGGTTTGTTCTAGCCTTAAGCTGGCCTAAGAAAGAGTGAACATCTGGCCTGTATCTGAAAGGCCTATTTAGGCCTTAGGCAGTGTGCAAAACATTAGCTTCTGTCCATGGCATTGAATACTTTGCATGGCCCCAGGGCTTTGCTAAAGGACAGTGGTATCATTAGGACACAATCATGTTTATGGAATACGTTGCAACTAAGATAAGTGAGTCCTCAGACTTGCACTGCAGCACTTACAGCTGAACGAGAAATATTTCTGCTTCTTCGCTTTGTAGTTGTAATTCTACCAAAATAGATGCATTAAAAAAAAATCTTAAATGCTTTCTGAATGTTGATATTGGCAAGCAGCACGACATTTTATGAAACAGTTTTTCACATTCCTTTTCTATTTCCTTTCCTATTTCTCATTTCAATATTTTTTCAGGTATCAGTATCCATAAGGAGTATTGCTAGCAATATTAAAAGATCATTTTTAAGGCTACCATGTAGAAATGATGCCTGCACCTCACTGCATGACTTCTGTTACAGGAACAGTCTGTAATGGTAATGAATAAGAAAGAAATACTCCAAGTATTTAATGTGGCTGGAGGAAAAATAAAGAAAACATAATGTGGCAAAACTATGAAAGCTACACTCTAAAATATTTTGGTTGGCTAAACTCAAGGCTTTAATTTTGGAACGCTAGCAAGTTTACCCAAGTTTGAAGAAAGACATTAACTGTAAGCCCAGAAGATGTCATCTGTAGCTTTTTCTCCTGAGCTCATTCCCCAAACAGGAGACTTCAGGAAATTACGTTGAAGACAACCTTCCCTTTTCTGGTCTTTCAAGTTTGGGTTGATATTTGCAGTAAAGACACCGTTTCTTATTTATAACCACATTATCACTTCAGAAACACAGTCCTCAGATAACTAACACCTCTGATAGCTCACAAAGACTGCAGTCAAATTAAAAGTAAACAGGCACTGAGCTGGAGAGAGTTGCAGCTGAATCTTATGAGGTGTTTTGTTTTAGAAATATGTAACATGCTGTTATACATCTGAAAGTGTAATAACTTCTGGTTTGTATCTGGATGCAACTGTGATTACTGGCCAGGCCTGTGTTTAAGGATCTTGTAGTTGCCTCTCATTTTCCTTATGTAATAGTAAAGACCAACCAGTTGGTCTGTGAGATGAAGCCATCATGAATCAAGCAGGATTTGTTACTTGAGGGCTTCTGCTTTGAAGTCATGATCTTGGTCTCCTTACAAGAGATTTAATCCATTTTGTTTAAGGGCACAATAAGAGCATTTTCTATTCAGTTTGTTTTCTGTCCCTTTTCTTCTGAGTTTTCATTGCTTGAATATAAATAGGATTGGTAGGGTTGGAGTACTGTTCTTTTATTAAAGGAAGTGTGAAGAAATGCAAGCTGAGAGGAGCTCCCTCTCCACCCAGAAAAAGGAAAAAAAAGAGGAAAAGAAAGAGGAAAAAAAAAAAGGAAGGAGGGGGGAGAGAGCAAAAATCTGTTGAGGGCTTTTGAAAGAAGCTGACGCTTTCATGCTTGTTTAGGAACAACTTTGTCAAGAGAGGAAACTTTAAGGTAAAAGCAGGGACACTTGAAAATATGCTGTCATCTAAGATTGAAACACAATGTGACAACCAGTAGCCTGCTGCCTTAGGAGGAAGACACAGTGCCTCAAAAACACAGTATTTATACATGGAAATGCAGTGTTCACGATTTATTCGCAGAAGAGTCACATATACCTGCACAAAATCTTACTTGGTAAGAGGGAGAAACAGCACTTACAGAGGGCTGGAGTCTTGCTCATTAGGATGCAGTAATACTGAAAAAAAACAACAACCCTGTAATTGTGCCAGAAATATTTCAGAGAGCTGCTACTACGGTCTCTTCTTTGCCAATCAGGAGATGGAAGGGATGAATGTCCTTCTCTCAATAAATCTGTGATACATTTGATGAGGAATTAGTCTAGATTCTACAAACTTATGCTGGTGTTACAAGCACGGAAGTGCTGAAATGCATAATGCCTGGCACTGCCAGAGCTGATGGATGATCTGCAAGTATTTTTCTGTAATACTCAAATTTAAAACTACTGGCTTTTCACTGTTTCTCAGCACGGAAAAATCATCATCTTGTTTACAACCAGCCCCTCCCCCTTTATTTCAGCCTGTTAAGCGTAACAAATGCCTGAGACAGAATATCGTTGCAAAGCCCGAGACTATTTCTGATGTTAGCTTGACGTTTCTTAATATAAAAAGGATTTGTTTTTCACCAGCCTGTGTTTTTTCCCACCAAATCTTATCAGTGATTTCCCTCATCAAAACCAAGATCAGTTTTTTGCTATGTCTCATTTTCTTTTTCTTTTCTTATTTTAGGCTAGTCCCACTTGGAGCTAAGCAGAAGCAAATATATCACAAATTTTTCTGTGGTTTACGTTATGGATTCTTTCACAACTGCTTCTGAAAGTGTTGCATTCATTTATTAGTGTTGTGTCATAATGCTATTTAAACATTATGAAAGAATTGCTGTATCGTGGAAAGAAATCATCCAACGTGTATTTGTTTCACCGACCAAATTATTATAGGCAACCTCATGGATCATAAAATAATTGGATGCTGTCTAATTAAGCGTTGCTGGATTTTGATTCCTAGTTCTGATTCCTTTCTTTTGCTGTAAGAGTCTTCTGTGAATCACCTTTGATAAATGAGTTAAAGCTGACATGCAGACATCTTAAAATAAGGACTGACACCTGAAATGACGGTAAAAATAATTTTTATGGAGATATCTTAAAGAGAAGAAGAAATCTATATTAAAAGGGTAAGGGATCCTAACAGATGCACGGTAACATGGCTTGCTCAAACTAAGAGCACTCCTTATCCATGCCATATGCCCCTTAGCAATTTTCTCTAGCCCTACTGCCTTGGGCTTGCCTTCAGTTTTCCTGATTTCCGGCTGCTGCTGACTTCTTTACTCACTGTTAAGAAAGATATCCTTTACCATTTTCTTTTCTTGAACTGCTTGTGCTTGTTGTATGTCTTTATATGGCTCTATTACTGACTGCTTCTAACACTAATTTCTACAAAATTACCATGCAGTGAAGAATGATTTAAGTTGCATCACCAGGGAGTTTCACGCAGAGGGAACAGGCAGGTGTACCCAGTAACCTAACTCCTACCAA